CACTATACTTCTTTTGGTTAAGAGGACTAACAGATGCAAGTGAACTTGAATTGTGGGAAGTGATTATACTACAATCCAGTGATGAACACCAACTCTTCCTGAATAACCTAAAAACTAGTGAAAATGCTGGTTAAAGAAAATAGGGACTCTGAGGATGTAAAAATTTTTATTCCTGGTCAGAAAGTTGGGCTGCTACCTTCCTTTCCCTTTAGAAGACTGGTTGCCTAATGAAAAAAGTCTTAATACCATAACAACAACTCAACTGATTTGAAAGAAACTTCTAATTTTGCCATAAGGCTTAATGCTCTTCCTTCTACTTAGCTGAGAAAATGTTCTTAGCTTGTTGTAAAACAGTTTGGCACATTCACAAGTTACCAGGACCAATATCTAGTGTGGACTGAGTGTCCTCTAGGTTTGTGAGTGGTTGTGGTGAAAGGATAGAAGACAGCACTGAACACTAGTAGCCAGGCAGGTGCAGTTGCAGTGAGAGAGCTGTGCTGACCTTCATTCAGACCCAGGCAGATGGCTTGTCAGGATTTCCAGTTTCCTCCCCCCACCTGGTGAAAGCGGACCCCTTGGATTATCAGTGGGGTTTATTGTTTTAAAAGTTGTTTGGGATCCACAGGAACAACATTCATACAGGGACATCTGTGAAAGCAAAGCAAGAATGAACCTTTGCAGACTTCAGACTGGTTGGATTTCAGTTCAGTGTTTTAGCTGTTTGTGATTTTGAGGGGTAAGCAGTTGTTATCCTGTGACTGTACTAGATCTCTTTGGTGTGCACAGATGCAGTGTGCATAGTATACATATGCAAAGCAGATGGGCAAAAAGATTTCCATGCTAATTTTAAAAGGTTTCATGCTCAATATTGTGAAAAGCTTTCAAAAATTGTTTTTCAAAGACAATCATTTTTTTTTTGTTTTTAATTTTGTTGTGGCAAACTGTACCAGAAAAGCAGCATGTCAAAATGCTTTATGTTCCAAATTAGAAAAAAGAAAAAAATGCGTCATGTTCTATGTAGATCTCCCCTCCCCTCC